AAAAAAAAAAAAAAAAAAAAAAGGGGAAATCCCATCTGTCAACTGTCTAGGAATGACCACCGGGCGATCGCAAATGCGACAAGCTGGATCCAACGAAGGACCAGCCCCCTCAAATCTGTCATAACCCAACATGCCGAGTAAATTAAGGAATCAATCAATCAAGCGACAAACAGCAGAAACGGACGGAGAAATTGAAAAAACTCGAAATTTTTTCCTACCTTCACGATACACCATACGACGATCATGGTTGTTGAGCTGATTAACATTATAACTATAATTATGACGATTATTAGACTCTTTTAACCCTCCGTCCTGCGTGTGCTTCCTCATCGAACTGGGGTTCGCCTGTGATACGTGATACCCGTTGCTCTCTGTTCGATATGACGCCGAGACACTCTCGTTGGCGTATGGAGCGGAGGACGCAGGGATCGATGCGGCAGTAGTAACTGGATAGTGATATACCGGCACCGCTCGAGGCATCTCGTGTTCGCGTCGGTTATACGCATCGTAATACACGCGTGCTGATGGAGGCGGCGGTGGTGCGTAGGTACGAGGTGGTGGCGGAGCAATGAGATGAGGATCGTGGGACGTGCCTAGGATCGTCGAAGGATGTGAATGATATATTGGTTGGGGAGGGTGTTTCTGGAAATCCATCATCATCGTGGTGGGGGTGGTACTCGAGCCGTTGTCGAGGTTTGCAGCATACACACGTTGGGAAGGGTTGTTCGTGTTTGGGCGATGAAAAGAAAAATTGAAACCGTTGATGATCGCCAAATGGCGGTGGAAAGGTAGAGTAGAGTGAGTCGAGACTAAAGCTTGTTTTTATGTAACAATATCAAGCGGCGCGGATGACGGGGAAAACCAAATAATACGATGAAGAAAGGAAGAATAATTATCGGATTAAGCTCGACAAGCGTGAGGAACTGAATCCACGGGAGAGAAAAGTGAAAACTTGCACAGCTCTCTCAGATAGCTCGGGTAGGAAGGTGGATGAAAGGTTTGTGGAGAGAAAAGGAAAAAAAAACAAAAAGCAGGAAAATCGGTGAGAAATGGAGTAGGGGCACAAGACGAACATGCGACAGGCCCAACTGTCGAGTTGGAGCAAAACCATCGGAAGAAAAGCGGCGCAGAACCAATCAATTGAATGCAGAACCGCTAGTTGGGTCGATTAACGACCAGCTGCAAATCGTAGTGGCCGATGGGGCCGTCGTGGCAGCGGGGAAGCTGGTGGAGCCTTTTGACTGGAATGCGAGTACAGTTATGGATTTTCTTTGATTTGAATTTTAACATTTTATATACAGAACTGTATTCAATACAGTGTCATTTTTTCTAATTATCTCTGCTATGCATCATTCTCACTTTTATATATATATGTTTTCTTTTCTTTTTCTCTGATTTCTTACTACTAAGAATCATTTTACGTTGGGCGCAAGGAATCACCGACATGCTTGTTGGTCGGCATTTATGCATCACGACGTGTCATGCCCATCATTACCAGTACTTGATCTGCGACCAACGATTAGTCTCTTCCCCCGGTTCCCTCCCTCGTTTCTGATATCAATTGACCCTGGATCATGTCTCTGAACCTCTCCTTCATAATACCGGTGGTATTATTCTATATCAAACTCCCCATTAATAAAAACTCCACAAGACTAGATTCAGGAGTAGTCAGAAGTAAGACATTGAAAAATAAAATAAAAAGTAAAATACCAAAAAAACAAAAACAGAGGAAGAAAACCCCCTATTATCCTCCCCCCTCCCAAAGTACCTTTTCCAACATCAATCGCAGCCAGCCTGATGTCATCAGCATGCTTGGATCCCCACCATTCAGGCACCGTAAAGTAAATTCAAAGCGATACAGTTACACCGCGACACCGCCTCCCTCCCGGTGATTTCCGAGCAGAAAAAAGAAAAAATCATCAATCAATAACACCAACACGAAAAAATCCAGCCCCTTGAAAGAGATTATATCCGTAGCCATGGTAACAGTTATATTTCCTTTTTATAGATGACCGGTTTAGTACTTCTTGTCGTCTTAATTTACTTTGGACTCCGAAACGTTTCCTCCGTGCAACCCAGACATAAAGAAATTAGTCTGTGCGCCGTGAGAACAAAGATATATGTCGTTTTGATATTCATTGTTGTACCGTGGTACATCGTACATACGCATTTCGACGGTGCATACATACCTCATTTTTCCGATCCCCCTTACGTTGTGGCGAAGGTGGCTTGATGCGACACATTCCTCATCCATGGGTTATCAAAGGCCTGTCGAGATCTGGAAGGGGGTTCAATACCCTGGATTGATGCGATTCCGAGGCATATAATTTGCTTTCTCACCAGGAAATCTCATCCTAGGTTGCACTTATTTAAACCTTTCATTCGTAATGATATAAATGAATATGTCATACACTCACGCGTACGTCATTATCATCGTCTACTGCCAAAATTATACTGCAAAGCTATACGTTATCGGTATCTCCCTTCCGACCGCGGCATTCCAGGCCTCCGCCGACAAAGAATCGCCTCCACCAAGGAATTTCACATCCTCTCCCGTCAATCTCAATCATATCCGCACCCTCGCGGACCAAAATTCGCCAGATCATCCGCCGCACTGGTGGTGAATAACCTGAGGTCCCCGAATATCGCGCGCGAAGACCGCGCCGGTGAGCGGCTCGCACTTGGGCGCGAACGCGCTCGATCTGTTGCGAAGAGAACCGACCGCCACGATGAGGGAAGCCGATTGATCGGGTGAAGTTCGCGGTCGCAGTGAGGAGTCGATACGATGACTCGTGATGCTGATTTAGACTGTTTTCTGTGTCCGCCTCGGGTTGAGCAGAATTGCCCCCTCTGACTTTATAGGAGGACTGGGATACTTTCAAGACAGAACCGTAATCCTCCTTCAATAATTGCTCTAGCGAGGTATCAAACATCATACTTTCATTGACGTTGTCATGGTCGGATCTATCCCCACCGCCGAAGTCTAGGCCTTCCAAACCTGTAAGGACGATGGTAACAGGGCGGGGGATAACGCGTGTTCCGTTCCGATAGGAAAGGTAATCCTTTTGTTTCAGCGACATGAGCTGCGAAACTAGATGCGGCCATGCCGCAAGTGCCGAAGTGTGTAGCTCCAGAAACAGCGTAAAAGGCTGTACTGGGTCTTCATCAAAGAGACCAATTGGGCTACTCGCGTCAGTAGATGCTGGATAAATTACCGCAGGGTTTCTGGCATCCAGTTTCTTCCGTAAAGGGTTAAGATACAAATCCTCCAGTGTCTCTGACACCTCTCGATCTGACGCTAGACTGTCCACGAGAAGCCTACCTTCCTGTGCCTGAAGATCCACCTTAACCCCCGAGCATCCAGCATCTATAGCATACTGGATAGCATCATGTGCCTGTGGTTTGTAAAGGATGCAGGTACTTGGTTCCCGGCTGAACTCAGTAGGCCATTGAACAAAGCCTTGATGTTCCTCAATTCCACTACGGAAAACGATGTATGTGAGCCCATATGGTAGCGCCGCTAGAAACTGGATTACAATCCTGTCGAAGCAGGTTAGCTTTTCAACAGTGCTTGGTCTCAACTGAGGCAGCGATACGTACAGGAACATCAGAAATAGGCAAACTAGTGGGAAGATGCGTTCCGTCCATCGTCGCTTCAATATAGCCCAATACCTAGCTACGTAGGAGGACAAGCCGGGAATACATTCATTAGGATGGGACCGAAGCGGATGATCTTCGAGTAATTCCCAAGAATATGAATCATATTCCTTGTCCCGTAAGGATGGGATGCTATTGAGCAAGTCGGACGCCTTGACCGCTGCCATTTAACTGACGACGCCCCTTTCCGAGCCGTCGATAAGCATGCACCGCGGATTTTCAGAATGATCGACGGAAGGAATCGACGGCGCCCCAATGTGGGGAAGCTCCTATAGCCGATTCCAGCTGCAGGAGTCAAGGCCAGGAATGAGGTTCAACAGACGGATTTTAAATGTGAAGAGGGGATATAGAATAAAGAAACAACAAAAGACGAGGGGCATGCATGGTCGCGTGCCACATTGCGTGGATAAATAGGGGAGATATGCGAGGGATAATGGTGATGGTTCCAGAGCACGCAATTGCCGGTTGGGATGGTTCACAGTTTAGCGAAAACGCCATTAGAGACGTAAATTGTCGGTCAGGGATGATCAGTTCGTATAGCGCTGACCAACTCGAGAATCCGTCTCTTGGACACGTTAAGCAGGAACCGAAGTTCTCAGGCGTATATCCGCTCTGTGGTCATAGATTCTCATATATATTGGCACATACTGAAGCTATTGGACAATTAAGGTGGTGAATACTCCGTACTTCCTGCGCAACTTTCGGGCCGATTTAGCTGGTAAGGTGTGGGGATGAAGCAATTAAGGACGCGTGCCTATCCTAGAGAAGCAATGTCAGGGGCGATCCCCTGATTACCGGCAGCCCTATCATAACAGGTCTCCTTCAGCACCGGGATGCACGTATTCTACTTGAAACATACTACATATATTGCTTTACATATATTCAGCCTATCGCACGCACCAGAAATTGTAATTCGAGTTTCTAAGAGGATACCGAGCTTTACAAACTAGTTGTAACGATAGGAAGCATCACAGTAAACGAATAGCGAATACAAAGACGTTTGAGTTTTTGCTTATATTTTCCAATTTAAACAATATGGTTTAGACTAGAACAAATATATCCTTGAGGAGGCGACAAGTATGATATTATAACAACATGGTCGCTCTCTATCCTGGACTACATACATCCCATTCGAAGGGTCAGAAAGTACTTGCCGCCAGCAAATGAAAGCTAGTATATATGGACGATAGTAACCTATGATAGAAAACAGACATTTCAACACTTTATAAGATCTCATATCATTGCACGGTCCCCTTTGAACACCGACGATGGCAATCTTGAGGTAGACGCTCGAAAGCACCGTGGCCCTCACGGGCTGCAATTTCAGCAAAGATTGGCAGTGACCAACGAACCGCGTCGCTGCTGTATCCTCGACTATCCGTTCTGAGCCCAACTCCGATGCTGCCGCTTATCGCTAGAAGGGCGTGGCGGGGACAGATGTGACCCAAATCCTGACTATTTGCCAAGTCGACAAGTAGAAGGTCTAGAACCATACGTCGTAACAATTCTCTCGAACTGATGGACCCCCTTGTCATAGAACATCCTTCATTCAGCTTGCTAGGTTTGTGGATAGGAGGCAGAAATAGTTATTGATCGATTGACGAAGACAATACTGCTCTGAAGTCTTTGATTTGAAGGGATGTTTTCTTCAACTTTTGATTATGTTCGGAAATGGGGGCAGGCAGGCAGTGACGGGCCAACGACTAGAAGAGGGGGTAGAAACAAGCGAGCACATAATACTGACGAAACAAAACTTTTCTTATATATCATTGCAGATTCCTGACAGTTGGAAGTATAATCCCGTCCTGTTAGACTGTATACCTACGATAACTACGACGAATACATGAGAGATCATGGAGCGAAAGATAAGTTTGGCAGGAAAATACCCGCAGCGCATAGGTATGCGTATGATCACACGCGGAACAGATAAACGCAGAGGGTTAACCCTCTACGCCCATTCCGAGTTGTTTGCACATGGCGCCCAACCCTCTTTGTGATTGGCATAGTCGCAGGTGTCTCAGCCCATATTCCATAAATGAATGGGGCTTACGCAACCTTCTCAATGTTTTAAGTAACACAGAAGGATATCCTTGATTGCAATTTGGCACTGTACGACAAGCCTTTTAAGCGTAAGCCTAAAATGAGCTCGAGATAAACCCTCTCGGAGCTTTGCCAACCACTCAAGCTGATCACAAGGGGATCAAAGATAGTAACGCTGTGATACAACACAGCCACCCAGAAAGCTTGCGCTGTAGAGGTAACTGAGGTAATTGGACACAGGCCGTCGGGGCCAGGTTACTCCAGGGAAAAGTTGACATGGCTGCCTACACACTACCGGGCGGGCGGACAAAGAATTGGAAACGGAGGAGTAAGAGTGAAGTGGGGGAAAACAACAAAGAGTGATAGTGAAGTTCAGGGTCCAGGGGAAAGGGAATGGTTGAAGTCATTAGTGAGTGGCATAAATACTTCTCGTCTTCCCCTCTCATGCTGGTGACACGGGAGAATCATCAGATCCCATCCCTCATTTTTATCATCATCCTCATCTGCATCTTCATTGCCTGTCTCTACCATCCTTTTAAGTATTATCATCATCATCGACACGACGACCTTGTCTGCTCTGAATATCCGAATCAATTCATACCCAAACGTCAATCAACATGCAGATCTCCTGGTTCGCCATCATGGCAGTTCTGTTCACTGCTGTCGCAGCCAAATCCACCGCAACCACTACGACTAGCGCTGCTACTTCGGCCAAGGAAAGTTCTAGTTCGGCTTCGACCAAGCCAACGAAGAATGCAGCTGCCGGAAACGCCCTGAACAACCCATTTGCATTCCTTAGGGAGTTGTAAGAAGATATGGCAAGGTACGTCAAAGGCCATCATATCTTAACTGCTCTAAAGCCGCTCACATTCCTAGAGTACAAACGAGGTGTCGATGAGAAGGAATGTTATTCATAAGGCGGAAGAAGAGCAGAACGGTTATTATTGTGATAAGGATAGCCCACTCTTCCTATACGCTGGATCCAGGTTGAAATCTGTGGCATACCTTCATTGTTTTCCAGACCCCAGTGCTTCAGGTAGGACGAGGCTTATCAGGTCAGGAGATTATCATTTCTTTGGAACTCGATTGATGTACTGTACGTAGGAAGGTCTCGTCCAATTAAGCTTGAGCTTGGCTTTTCCCATATACATTGACAGAGTGATTGCGGTCTAAACCCCAGAAGCCATGGTCTTCTTCGTAGCGATCTGATGCTATATGTATTACTATCTTCCCTTGTTCGGCGATCCGACTCTTCTTGCCCCTTGGTGATATACTTGAATTTATGCCTTTCCCCTTTATTCGCATGTATAACCGGCTACACTCTATAATACGTTCTCTTTGGGCCCTTATCTACTGGAAGTTTCTTAGAACTTCCCACTTTGAACTCATTGGATATATCGTCCGGTTCATAGTTCTGGTCTCTTTCACTCTCAGTGAATCCGTAGCGATAGAGCTACGCAATAGTGGCGTAATAACGAATCCCAGACTGATCCTCTGAATGGAAAGTGTATACATAACAAGCATTACCGACAGCAAGACAGGCGTATATGCTTTCTGGACTAATGCGTACTACAGAATAGCTTTCACTATCCTACGTGATAACATTTGCAATGTTGTATTTGTCTGTGGAAGGGGTGTAAGTATTCAGGTCTTAGCACTGAAAGGTGGTCGAAGGATCAAGAGATGAAGGCTTTTAGTTGTAGAAGCGTCGCAAAAGAGGCCCATATCCTAACTTAACCATACGAAAGATGGCAAAAGAGACACAAAAAAGAACGTCTATTCCAAGGAAGCCAGGAATCATACCGACATTCTCCCCGTAATACATACATAATACATACATACGAGTCAACTGTTCTTTATGAACCACACCAAATCATATAATGGAGCAGAAGAAACAATTCAAAAGATAAACAAGGCCCACTAAACAAACAAAGTAGATCAATGAAAAGAAGGCCAAATCGCAAGATAAAGATAAAAAGAAACGCATCCCTCCAAGAAAAAATAAATAAGCGATCTGCGGATCCTCGAACATACTACAAAGCAACAAGAGTTAACCACAAATCATAGCCTAGTAGCCATCCTACTTCGAATCTGATATCCCAGACTCCTACTCAATACATAGACGGCATGCGGTTCTTGACCATGACCATGCTTGGAGCCATTCTATTTGAAACTGCGCTAGCTATCCCCAAGGACATACGTGGATACATGTCAATGTGTACTAAGGGTGGTTGCGATCCAGCATTCTTTGTTTGCAAGGTGAAGTACTTTGTTTTACTAGGAAGTTTAATAATAGGGCTTGAGTCTGCTGACCGAGATATAGATACCGGAGGGTGAGAAACAGGGCAAATGTTGTTATATTCGCAATGGGCGATCTGATGGACCATGTTGAAGATTGTATTTGAATTTTCCATACGCTGTCAAAGAAATATTTCTAAGCTATATAAGGCATCGACGGACACATCGTTGCTGATGGAGTCTGGGTTTTCCATAGTTATAGATTATTTAGGCGCAAAAGTAAAGTAGACTCTGGGAATGATTTCCATCGATAATTCTATACTATTACCTACCTCCCAAATAAAGCATATTGCTACACTGAGTACTCCAGTCAAATACATCATTCATCATTCATATCATTACCATCTATAGCAAGACAAAAGCCAACAGACGACTCAATTAAAATATTAGGCAAACCGAAACAAAGTCCACGCCACAGACCCAAACGAAAAAGGTATCCCAAAACAAAAGATCACGCAGAATGGAGGGACTATTACATATTTTCTTTTACCCACACTGTATGCCAGTGCAGACCAGGAACTGAAGCCGAACTATGCTGAAAGTCCGCTTCTGGCCCGGATACGAGCGCCGAAGATGTACAGGAGGAGGGGAATAGGGATGAGAAGTGCGCCGACACAGCCAAGCAGGGTACATGCCCACTCTACTCCAAGTCCATCGAACTACATTCATGGGATTGTTAGTGAACTGTTTGGTTGATGGTGTAGGTAGAGTGTATGGTACTAACCATTTGGGTTGCGAAAAGGGGGAATGCGCCTCCAGCTGCTGATCGCAGGAATGTGTGTGCTGCAATGGCTGATGCTGACCTGGTAGAAGGGTTAATTCTCCGTTCATCACGCGAGAGGTTATGCTAGGTAGACTTACTTGTCGCCACTGGCTTCCACGAGATAAGCCAATGAAGGCAGAAACATCGTGAGCAACCCAAAACCAGTGAACAATCCGGATGCAGTCGGTACAATCCAGTGAATGCTGCCCTTATACCCGGACCATCCTAACCAGAAGAGTCCACCAGTGAAGAGGACCGCACCGGGAATAGCAACGGGAAGACGCCATTCGGGCATCATCTCACCATTGTTCTGCTTCAACTTCCGCAGCACCCAAGGCTGGGTGGCAGCGGTGGCAGCAGCGCCAAAGAGCGTTCCAATAATAACACCGATGTACGGCAGCCCACCAACTCCTGGATTCATCCCACGCTTGATCTGGAAGACGTACGGGTAGGCAGTGAGGAAGAGGTAAAGCAGACCGTAGACGAAGGCGCCGAAGATGCACATGCACAGGACAATCGGTTCCTTGACCAGCATTTTTAGGGGCAAACTCAAGTTGTCTCGGATGAGGGAACGAAGGTCGAGATGGATTTCCTCTTGCTCGGAGTGGAGAGACCAGTCCCCTGTTTTCCGACGCAGATGTTCAGCTTTCCGGGTCAGGATGACGGGCTGGAATGTCTCTTCGAGGAAAAGAGTCATGACGACGAGAGCGGCTGCTCCTAGAATTCCTGGGATATATGCTGTCCAGCGCCAGCCTAGAGAATGATTCATGATGATGAAGCCCCCTGTGAATGGACCAGCCAGGGGGCCGATGAATACCATCAGACAGAACATCACGATGGGGACACCACGTTGCTGGGGCGAGAACATATCGGCAAATGCTGGACCGGCTAGTGTAAGGGGCCCAGACCCAAAGAATCCTGTGAAAAACCGAAGAATGAACAAGGACTGAACATCTTTGGAGACGGCAGTAGCGAAGGAGAATATTGTGAAACCGAGCATGGACAAAACGAGAGGGATATATCGTCCCTTGAGCTCTGAAAATGGACCGAAGACCAAAGGACCAGCGGCAAACCCAAAGACATACAAGGAAACGCCCAAGGTGGCTACTTCCTTGCTGACACCATAGAGAAGCATCACGACTGGTATGGCTGGGGCGAATATGCTACTGGCAAAAGCGACTATCATGGTACTGATACCCAGAATGGCACAGATATACACCCTAGGATTGCGTAGCCACGAATTAGTTTTTCTGATTGAGTTAGGGCTTCCATGGACAGCACACATACTTCTTCTTTTTCGGCCAGTTGAGTGGGTTCAGGGGGTCATTGGGGCCGTCGAAGTCCACATGATGCTGGACTGTCTTTGTGACCCCTGAACTAGCAGAGCTGATGACTTTGGGCTCTTGCATGGTGCATCAGTAGAGCTTTCAAAGATACTGTATACTATAGTAGGAAGGGATGCGTAGTATCCTAACTGGTAAGACTTGCGATGGATATATGAACAGGACAGGACAACGAAAGTAATGAGAGGCAAAGATCAAAGGGTTCTTGAGGACAAGCTATTATACTAGGGCTATCAATGAAAATTATAACACAGAACAACAAAAGGCAGGACCAAGGCATAGATAAGTACGGCCACGTCTAGCTATTCATTGCCTAACGAAATGCCCCATCACCCTTTTTTTTTTTCTTCACTAATGACAGTATACCCACTCAGTCATGCGGAAACCAGACCCATCCATCTCGCACCACCTGGGAAACTAACCTAGGAGCACCAAGTAATGCCAAGCCAAGACAGCACTGAAGAAAAATGTAGGGCCGGTTGTCAACCCATTTCCGTCCGAGTGGATACATCGGTTTTCACCGCGCCTATCGTTGGATCACGCAGCGGCCAGGCGGATCTCAAGATAGATATGCTGGGGCTTTTCCAAATCAGGCTATAATCCACAAGGCTACCAAATATCTAAGCATTTATCTCGGCGGAGGTTCGGAATGCCGGGTGCTTGACACTTGGCAAGGGTAGGATACGAGTGCTATCTGACAACACGGAAGCCCAACCGGAATGTTCCTATTCTACATGACTTCGGAGGCCACAGCAATATAGGCTAGTAGGGAGGCAAAGGCCATAAGTCACTCGGGTGGGATCAGAAAGGGGATTGGATAGAATTTGGTGATATTCTAATCAGGCGGATATCATGATCAGGGATAGACTCTTGTTAGCAGTTAGGTCAGCCAGCCGTGCTATTTATGCTTTCTTTAGGCATACAGATATAATAGCACAGTAAGGCTACGAATCAAATTACAGTCTAGAGCACTACTTTAATCTTATGTAGGCCCCTGGCCGCTTTAAAAAAAAAATACTATAACAAGTGTTCCAGAACGGAGCCCTTAGTGCGGGGCCCTAAAGTGTCAATCACATGAATGCATCCCTATGAACAGGTTTGACCAACATTAGGTAAGGAAATTATGAACTGGTATGGGTTCAAAATAAATTTAGATTATTATTAAGAGAGAAGATGGGGAAAAAAAAAAAAAAGAAAAAAAAAGAAAAGCAAAAAAGAAAAGTAGACCCACAACACCGATGGAATGATTAAACGGCTCGGAGTGATTAGAATGAAAACCTCAATGTACAAGTAGGGACGAATGGAGTAATCGGCCCGATAAACGGCAAGCCGAGTCCAGAAAATTCATTCCCATGCCTCCTGTCCACTGGCGTAGTACGCATCAATGCAGGGGCTACAAACCTTGATCATAATCTCAAGCTGTAGATTAACTATCGGCATACTAGATAATGTATGAAACTACATAGATATCTACTGAAAGATAGGCCTTAGGGCTGGAAAATGAATTTGGTAACCATTCAGTATCAAGCTGTATCAGACGGTATGCTTCCGACACGCTGACGTCAGGTCCACAATCACATGCTTGACCTAGGATTTTCACATGCGATATCAGATGTTCCTTTATTGTTATTCTTATTTATTTATTTATTTTTTCTCTTCATTCACTACATTTTCTTGCTCGATAATCTTTGTTTTTGTTGGTTCAAAAAGGATGTGTGAGTGATAAGTGAGTTGGCAGACCACGTAGGGTTGCGAGCTATATTCTAGGGCCCAATCTGAGAGCAATAGAACGTTGAAGCAATTCAATTTGAGCCTCGAAGGCTGTGTTCCATGGCCCTTTCTGCAGGAGTCATGGCAATATTGTGGATCCTTGAATGCATCTGGGTGTTAGGGGAAAAAAAAAAAAAAAAAAAAAAAGAAAGCCTTTGTGGTAGCAGGAGATATTAGTTTAGTGCTATATATCTCTTTGCTATGCGCCCTTCTTCAACCCTGACTGCATGCATCGCCAGACCGCTCTTATCTTCGCCTTTGCGCTACGTCGAGTCTCAACCGCCGGCCTCCATGATTGAATAAAGGCTATGTGAACACTGTAATCACGAACAATGTTAATAATGATGCCTGCAGCCTGGACTTAAGGCCACTCCAGTCTCTTTTAGATGTTAGGTAAAGGGGGTCCTGGCTGGAGCTGGTGTCTCCGATAATAGAAAGAAACCCGGAGTCATCCATTACTGGCTTGGGTATCAATCTACTAGATTCCCCACATCAAAGAGGGTGCATGGTGGATTGCGCTTTTCAAGGCTTTCTGTGGTCAATACCCTTAAAAAGAAACATGTTCTTCAAACCCTAGTCCCACAGTATTCAGACTGACGAGCCCCTGTTTTCTGAGCTGCATCCCAATGCATCCTCAGCCTCTCTTAATCGTGTACTCAGTGAATTCAAATTGGGCTCGCAATACTTGTCCCTGTTAGATTCTGCGCAACAGCCTTCAACTTGCTAATGATTGCAAGAACGCCAGAGTATGCAGGCTCACGCAAACACTCTTATATTTGATGACCATAGGAGAGCCTCTTCAAGTGTGAGATATTAAGCACTGATACGCGCACCCTTTAAGCCTAATAACATTAATCATGGTGGCCCCTTAACTGTATTTCCCATCTTGTATAACAGTCGTCGCTAGAGTCCTTGTTGAACGCTTCCAACACTAGGGTTCGCCCTACAAGATCCCTACGGCCCTAAAGGTACCATGTACAAGAGACATTCAAGACTCATCTTCAACCTAAGGCTTGCTTGCTTCAACGACAGTGAATATCCACTCATTAGGTTAACATATAGCATTAATATTCCCCTGAACTCACTGAGCCTCTATTTTCACGTCGTTTTTTATCTACCTCTACCACTAAAACAACAGGCCAAGGCGGGTGGGGGGGGAAGGCCCTTCGGCCAGTTTTCTCTCACTCACCTAGTGCGCTATGCTAATACCATTCTTTATATCATGAAGCACATGGCCAAGCCCGCGCACAGTCACGGCACTTACTTACAATCTTCGAACCGGATGACTTTCTGATGCAGATATTCCCTGTGAGTGCAACTGTATATCAGTGAGGTAGACAAAAGAAAGATCAGCAAATGAAGAATTATCTCCCTTTTTCTCTCCTCTGCCGACTATCTACAAGGATTGGTCCTATGACCAGAAGTCGACTTCATAGATATAACCACATACCACCACCCCGCTGAACTGTTGAGATAAAGCTATTGCATTATCCATGGATTTGGCCGCTTAGGACTAGATTTATTGGGCGGTGAATTATTTAGGTTAGTGGACCAGCGATTATTGCACAAAAGGTCTTGGACTAGAGGTCTAAGCAATTGAGATAGTGGAAATTAGTTCGAAGTGAAAAGCCGGGATGTGATGCTTTTCGGAGTTATGGCTATATTTACTATTGAAACATCCGTCAATCTCTAGTGTACCTGGTGAGTAATCTATGTTTTAGAGAGGTTTAATATTCTACTATTGATGCACTGAAGGTCTAATCAACTGAATGGCGGCCATCCTCAGCACCGGATCTCAATGTTCATGTACGTTTAATATATATTCTTCGTATGGTTTGTTACAAGCCACTTCGTAGTAGATGCAAATCTATCCTAATAATCAACGTGTGTATTCATGAACGTCATTCAAGCACTATCCAATCACTCTCACGGTGTCCGAGCTCCCTCTCCTATTCCCATCAACCCTCCAGCCAAGCCATTCATTCTGCGATCCAGGAGATCCTCCTCGCTAGGAAGGCTGCCTATGCTTCTGTCCCTCCGTTTGGGTGGAGGGGTCTGCAGGGCCTCTGAGATATAATCATGTGCCGGAGGCATAGTGAGTTTCGTGGGTGCATCGCGTCGTCTTCTGCTGAGCCCTTTGGGCCGAGAGCGGCGGCCTCTGGAAGCACTTTTGCCGTCGTTTCCGTTTGTAGTTTGGATGTCATTGTCATTCGTTGTAGAGCCGTGGATATGAACATGACTAGTCCCGTTGGACGATTGGCGGCGCATCTGAACGTTATCATTGCCCGTGGAATTATTCGGGTTCAATGGTGTCATCCTGCCGAGGCTCATCTCTAAGGGTCTATCCTCATCACCTGACGATTCACCCGTCAGGCTTCGCTTATGATTGCGTGGGCTACCGCTACTGGCACCCACCTTCGGAACCTGGTAGTACTGTGCGCCGTTGTGGAGTGACTGGAGTAAACTGGACGATGACGTCCGTCTCTCGGCGGCCTCGAACAAGTCCTGGATCCATATCGCGCACTTGTTGATGTGTTTCCAGCTATCAGGGAAGAAGCCCGCCATTTGCAGGAATCCGTGAGAGATCCCTGGGAGTAATGACACCTCCACGTGGTCCTTTTCGTTGAATGTTCGGTGAGATTTCTCGAGACCCAACTCTTGTCTTTCCCGGAATTGATGTAACTTGGCTTGTCGCAGTCTCCCAGCGAAGATTACGGTGTCATCAACCAGGGGATCACGCTCGCCTGTGACAATGTATGTCTTTGGGAACCGTGCGAGAAGGGCCTCCGGGGCTAGCACGGGGGAGAGCAGGAAGTCCGTACTGAAATCGGGACGATTGTGAGGTCCGATATACAGGATAATCATTGCCCTCATCATCTCAGGGGTCAGGATCCGATCGTGGACGTATGAGATCATTGAGGAAACGGCCAGACGGGTACGGATTTGTTTCGGGTGGTGGCTCTGCGCAACGGTAGCGGCCTGAGTTGCCAGGTTGTCTGCCTTCAGCTTTTCTTCAAGTTTCTTGGAAGCACCCTGAGCTACATCGTCGGCTTCGAGGTTCAGGTCAGAAGATGAGTCGCGGAGGTCTTCTGTGGAAGGTCCGGGAGATGTGAAGGGCGTCAAACGCTGGTAGTCCATGTTTTTTTGCCGTAGGACATTCTCGTTCGTCCGGCGTGCGCTCTTATCTTGTATAAGTGACATTTGCTCCTCCGTCATCCAGCTTTCCACTCTCATGTTCAACGCTGGATATGCTAAAACGAGCCCATCTGGAAGAGGGAGCATGTGTTCGCCTTGCCAACGGGGAGCATCTGAGCTTCCGGATTGAAGAGTCATCAGCGTAGTGCCCACTGCCAGATTTCCACCAGCACTATCTCCTGAAAGCACAATACGTGGCCGCACATTCCCGCTTAACCCCAAGCAACGTCCTCGCGTAGTGACGATAGTATGGTAGACGTCATAACATTCATTGAGAGCATACGGGTAGGGATATTCTGGTGCCTTTTTGTAATCAAGACTAAGGATGGGGACCTTTGTTTTCCCAGACCAGGCAAGCAGTCGATCTTCTGAAGCCCGGGGGCTCATGGCGACATATCCGCCCCCAGGGATATCCAAGATAATACAGGTCTGGTCCCGTAACGCACTCAGAGGACCATCGAAGTAAAGCCATGCATTAGTTGGCTCTGTATAGCTTGACTGTGGGGGGCGAGGAATCCGTATCGCACGAGGCGGGTATTTTGTAAGTCGGGGCCGAACCAGACTAGCGAGTGCCCACAGGTACGGTGTAGTACCTTTGTTCCATGAGACTCGCAGGTGTTCTACGGTCAGGGTTGCTCGAACCCGACGAACCTTTTCATCTGCCTGTTCCGCGGCAAAAAGATAGTAAACTGTAAACACCAAGGACGCGATGTCTCGTAGCCACTTAGGCTTGACTTTCATTGCGGTCCAAAAGCCAGCGTCGAGGGCCGTGGTGATCCATGTTGCCCTGAAGAAGGAGCGCGAATATAAATTGGCCAGTGGTTCCGGACATTCTAAACCTACAATTTTTGCAAAGTTCCGGCAGAAATATAACCACAGAAAAACACCCACAGTAGTTTGCCAAACGCTTAGCTTTGCTGACAGGCGAGATGAGACGTTGCGAACGATAGGAGGGCCATGTTTGTTTCCTCTGCACGACACTATTTAGCTACGGACTACCCAGCCATGACCACTTATTCGAGCAGCATACCTTAGGAGATATGTTGACCAGAAGAGGAAGACGGCAAGGACCTGAATTTTGCGGAATTTGGTCGATGGTCTTCCTAGCACATGGTCTGGAGTTTTTATCAGTGGCTGCTGAGCTCATTGGCGCCATGACAGAGCTTACCTATCATTTCCACGAGCTCACTGGAAAGCGAAAGGGCCTATCTTTCCGTTTCGGCCGGTTTCCTTGGCAATATGTAAGTTGGTTGGATATTCTAATACAGGGATACGAGATCACCGGCACGGATAGTGGCAGGAGCAATGGTTTACAGATTGGTGTCTCTCATATATAAGCAAACAGTGTATACAGAGACCAGAAGAGAATGCGAGTTTTTCTGCAGTCAAATTTCAACCCAATCGTATGCCATGGTATGCCACCGGACAAAGAAATTTCAGAAAGCCGATATGGGAGATACCAAGGAAGATCTGAAAGAGGGTGTCAGTCAAAGACTGCACAGTCTAGACAACGGTAAAAGTAAACAAGCAAGAGCGAAGAAAGAGGAAAGATTACAATCAGGTTAGGACTCCCCTGGCGTGAAGAACCCATGGATATAAGCTGGCGGATGACGGGGTCAAGCATGTGAAAGTCCCCACTACTCCCCGCAGTGCTGATTGGGGCAGAAGAATGGGGGGCTTAGAAATAGTTGGTCCAGTGATCCGGGGCAGAGTCGCCAGAAGTATTGATCGACCAGAATACTGGAAGACGATCATTTAGGGCTCTCCATGTCTGGAAGGGGGATCCTGTCTTGTCACGTTGCCGCCCTGTCACATGTTAGCCCCGTGACGCCATCACAGACTCATCATACCTGGCAGCAGTCAAGTGACCCGTCTTCAGCCCTATCTCACATTAATCGCGTACACGGGCTTATCCCCGGTTCAAGTTGTATAAGCTTGACCATATATTATCATATACTGAGTAATAATAATCTAAAAACCAAAACTTAACTATAGCTTACGGCAAAAGTCCCTTCCGTGCGCGTCTTGCCAGTCACACAACCAAACCTCAAAGATCATACTGACGAAGCCTGCGATACAGATCCCCCCGGAGTCGCTGACGGTTGTTGCGCCTAGAGAAAATTCCCGATCCTCTTGGGGCACACGCTCCCCAATCTCAGCGAACGTGTTGACATAAACCAAGCCACCGAGGAGCCCCTCCCAGAAAATGATCGCGAAGATAATGTACACGCTAGGAATGAAGTTGAACAAAGAATGAAGAGTCAAAATAACCAGATTCACAACCTGTAAGCATGATGGAAAATAAAGATCATGGATGCGGAAGAAGGGAGTCGACGAACGTGAGATGAACACGCCGACCTGATAAATCGCATTATACGCAGGGTAGAACGCACGGAAATGGGCGAAAGGAGTCTCGGTCAGCGGAAAGAGTAGGGTTGGGGCCACTCCCTGATTGATGGTATACTCTGCGACGTAGACCAACAGTAATGGAAGCATACTAAGTAGAACACTTGTGAGCAAAAAACGTCTCAATCGTTTTGTTCCGAGGTGTGCTTACAAAGGGAAGAAAAGCCCTCTTGCGCGATGCAGATTTGCTTTGATGTGCTGCCATCGGAGACTTCCATTCTCAGTCTGAGTTGCTTTCGGATTCTCAACGGAATGTATGGAAGAAGCGAGAAGGCCATCAACGTCACTGTTGGCTTCATCACACTCGTCACCAAACGCACGTTCTTCCGCAAGTCTATCTCGGGTTCCGACAGCGCGATAGCCGGCTTGTACGGCCGATAGAGGATGGTGCATAGGGGATCTCGGCAGGATGGTAAAGAAGCTCACCACCATGACTGCTGGTAAACAAGCGGATGCCAGGAGGGTCGTTTTCACACTGAGGCCGAAGGACGTAGTCGCTAGTGCATAAGCACCAGCACCAACCAGCCCCGCAGCTCCAGTTCCGCTTCCCCAGGCTGCCAAACTAAATGGGCCGTAGAAGTGTGTCAACCCGAGGAAGCTTAGTTCACCACCTCCGCTAGATACGCTGGCTAGAATAATCCCGGCAATCTTAGTGGATATCGTGCCACCATCCGTGTAGCCAGGGCTCAACGCAACAAGAAGCATTCCGATGGCGGAGAGGAGGACGAATACCACCACCCGTACCGAATATGGTACTACATGGATAAAGTACGGCGCAATGAGCTTAGTCCCAAAAGAAGGGATGACATCCGCGAGAAGGACGACGCCTTTGGGCACACCAGGACCGACTAAGTCAAGAGCAGCTGATAAGATGATGACATAGAGAACATTGTTGATCAAGCCTAATCTCTCAAACGGGTAAACACAGTAGGTTAGTAAATATGTATTCTTTGCTCCTTGGTCTACTTGAGTGCCAATGGCTCACCAAACAGCCAGAATGCAACGCAGACCCTGGGGTCAGCGCCACTGAATAAAGCACTTAGTCGCTCTCGGAATCTAGCCCAGGAGGAAGAAGGGGCTCCAGGGAGAGGTAACATTGGTGTTTCCTCTGATGCAGAGATTCTAGGCATAACAGCAGAAGGCGCGAGGGGAATTGGATTGAAGATTGGTCAGTACTCTACTAAGCGGAATAAAAGAGAATACAGGCCATCAAGTTTGATATGGAGATGGGATCTGCATCACTGCTGGATTGCACACTAGCAGTCAGCTCCTTAAGAAGTCAAATGGAAAGAGTGTCGAGGTGACGTGAGGCGGTCTGCCGCCACCAATTGATAAGGATGGCAAGTGAGCGCGTGACCGGCCGCTATCATATCACAGATGCCTTACGGCCTAGAGTTCTCTGCTTTAGGATCTTTTTACTAACATGCCTCAACCAAAGGTAATTCAAATACTTCTGGATCTCCCACAGTCTATATTCAAAGTGCATCAAGCTAACTGCTTTCTATCATTACCCGAAAAGAAAAGGAAAAAACACAGAAGGAGCACATGGTATATGAACAGCTAACATTCATCAGTCACTGAATGTGACTTGTATACTTAAATGTCGAAAGTTTTTATGCACGAAATAATACTCTATCATCTATGCCTTGGTTATGACGGCATCCAGAGCCTGCTCCAAGATCTTCAAGGCTGTCTTAATCTGATCCTCGGTGATAGTCAGAGGAGGCACAAAACGGAGGCAGCCATCACCAGCAGTGATGATCAATAAACCGCGTTCCCGCGCGGCAGTGATCAAGTCCGATGCCTTGGATGTGAAGTCCTGGGAGAGCTGGGCTCCCAAGATCAAACCGCGACCGCGGATCTCCGAGATGACACCAGGATACTTCTTCTGAAGAGCCTTAAGTCCCGAAATGAGTCCCGCCGATTTGATCTCCACAGAGTTCTGCAGCTCCGAAGTTGCGAGGCGCTCAACAATGTGGTGTGCCACGCGGCATACCAATGGGTTACCGCCGAAGGTTGTTCCGTGGTCGCCAGCCTTGATATGCTCCGCAACAGTCTTTCCGGAGACGATGGTCGCGCCGATAGGGACTCCGTTACCCAGCGCCTTAGCCGAGGTCAGGATATCCGGGTGCGCGGCTTCGCCCGAGGCAGGGGCAAGGGAAGGGTGAGCATGAGCCCAGAAGGTACCGGTACGAGAAAGACCACACTGAATCTCATCGAAAATCAAAACGGCCCCGACCTCGTCGCAACGCTTGCGGAGAGCTACGAGGAACTCGGGAGTAGCAACGTTGACACCACCCTCGCCCTGGATTGGCTCTACAATCACACCGCAAGTCTTGTCCGTGATAAGTGTCTGAAGTTGTTCTACATCGTTGTAGTTTCCGTATTTGAAGCCCGGGATCATGGGGGAGAAAGGTGTCTGATACTTGGGGTTGGGGGTAGCGGAGAGAGCGCCCATCGTGCGGCCGTGGAACGAGTTGTGGAAGGAAACAAATTCATGCTTTGCGCCCGAGGGATCAAGAGACTTGCCGACCTTGCGAGCAAACTTAATAGCCGCCTCGTTCGCCTCTGTTCCCGAGTTGGAAATGAACACCTGGGATGCATCGCGCATGGCGCCAGACTCCCGTGTCTTCGTGATCAACAACTTGCTGAGAGCGCCGGTCCAGGCATTGTGGTAAAGGTTCGAGGCGTGGATGAGTGTCTCGGCCTAGGGCAAATTGGTCCTGAATCAACAAGTGACCCTATGTTATATCCCGCCGTAGCATATACACACCTGCTCAGCAATAATCTGTGCGATCTCGGGGTCACAGTGACCAAGGGAGTTCACGGCAATTCCCGCTGTGAGATCAAGGTACCGCCTGTTCTCCATATCCCACAAGTAGCATCCTTGACCTTTTACCATCGTCGGAGCAGGGCGAACGTAGGTGGGGACCATGAAGGGCGCTCGGTCTTCCACGAAGGCCATTGTTGCGGAATCGGCAGCCGGGTCGGGATTGGGCAGAGATGACTATCACAAGCTTTTTTAGTTTTGTATAGCAGGTGCCACCAGGCCTCAGCATACCTTTGCCTGATTCTTCACATTTGAGCCTGTCGCAGCGGATACGAATCGTCGCTGAAGCGGTGACTCAATTGCAGGGACCAGCTTCCTTGCGAGCGGCAGTCGCCGCGAGGCCACACGTACGAAGGCCATTCGGATGGAAGTAAATAGGAATGAAATAGGAATGGATACGAGCAATTGAGACTGAGAAGGGGGTGTTTAAGAAGAACAGAGGGAGTTTCGGTGAGTCACCGAAAGGAGAGAAAAACGAAAGGTCCAAAATGTACGGGTCAAACAAATCCCGCGATATCGGGAAACCCATAAATGAACAAGCGGCTTATCTGATCAGAAATTGTATTGTGATTTGCTCTCCGCCACTCCGCAATTAAAATCAGTTACCTAAGGTAACTGACTCTCTTCTGAAGTCACCTTTGACTACAATTGTTCCACCCCACTCGTGGCCGTCGCAGCACCTTGCAAAAGAACAAATATTCCCACTCCCCAGCATGGCTTTCTCACTCGCTTCTCGCCGGGTTTTGAGTCCCGTTAAGACGCTGCGCATCTCCACCCGGGCCTTCTCGAACCATCCGGTTTTCCGCAGTGCCGACGACAAACCCGCTTTCGCATTTGGACGCGGCCCAGCTCCTCCTCGTCTACCCAAGGAAGAACAAGAGATCTTCGAAGAACTTCAAAAGAAATCTACTGGCGCCTTTAGTACCCCACGGACGACCCCCCAAATTAACCAGTCACCCCACTCCGAACCGGCCAACGAAAATCCCGAGTTTAAGGCGTCAGGAAACGGGGAGGAACTTCACCCAGATCTGCGAGGCGGTCTTCAGCCTGAATTTGAGGGCGAACAGAATCCTAAGACAGGCGAGGTCGGTGGGCCGAAGAACGAGCCACTGCGTTGGGGTGCTGAGGGTGACTGGAGCTACGGAGGTCGCGTCACTGATTTTTAAGTGGCGGAGGCGATGTATCGTATCGACGCGTTGTCGGCGAAGAATTTCTTGATTTTGCAGAAGTTGTGGATTTCGGTCATTGCATCAGTAGGCGTTGGGTACCATGATATCAAATGTATATATATTTGAACGGGCCAGATAGGCTACGGAAGCCTCTCCGCTCATAGTTTCTTGTTACTTTGTGATGCTCCTCAGACAAATGTACAATATCGTCGGCAAAGTAAGTAATAAGATGTTTTCGGTCATGTTTCGCCATTGGATACTATAGAAGATCAAATGTCAAGGGGGCTTAAGTTTGATCGTGTACCAAGATAGATTATCTAAGTGGTGGACAAAGTTTACGGCCACGACATAAGAGTGCCGGGGACATTCTAGACCATACAACTTGATTTACGCTCAAGCCATCCGAATCAGGCCACTTCGTGCTATAATTTAAAGACTTGGAAGCTATATTAACATTGTATGTATAGCAGAGACACGGTATTTGTATGAGCAGCGGAGCTTGGGGGCAACGTGCAGCATATGGTTTACAGGATGACAAAAGATGACAGTTCCCCAGACAAATGCTTAGTCGACGAAGATATTCGGGTTCTTCCTGCGAAATACCGGTCCTCATTCTTGAATCCTTGCAAGGGTTGCTTTCCCAGCCCTACTTTCGTTGAACCGATCCAGCTCGCCGCTGATCCAACCGCCGATCTTAGCCATCTCTTCTAGATTGATTCCCGTGTGCATTCCAAGACTATGAAGCGTGTGAACCAGGTCTTCTGTCGAGATATTGCCAGTGGCGCCCTTGGAGTAGGGGCAGCCACCGAGTCCGCCCACACTACTGTCGAAAATCCGAATACCATGCTCCAGTCCCACGACGGTATTTACCAGGGCCTGTCCGTATGTATCATGGAAATGCAACGCGAGATCATTGTTCGCAATGCCTGCAGCTTTGAGCGCCTGTAGGAGCTCCATCGTACGTGGGGCTGTTCCCATACCCGTGGTGTCAGCTACTGACACTTCATCGGCACCCATCTCGAGTAGTGTGGCCGTGATGTCAGCCACCTTTGACGGAGAAACATCCGGGCCTTCGTACGGACAGCCTAGGGCGACGGAAACATATCCTCTAACCCTGATGTTTTTCGTTTTGGCCAATTCTACAATGGGGCGAATGCGTTCCAACGACTCCGCAATGGTGCAATTGGTATTTGCTTTGGAAAAAGCTTCCGTCGCCGCAGCGAAGAGTGAAATCTCAGTTGAAGTTGAAGACTTGGTATTCTCTGCAGGGACACCGGCAGTATCCATAATTTTGACAAGATTTTCAAGCCCCTTGATATTAGGGACCAAGTAGTTGTATGCAATAGCATTCTGCGATTGCGGTGGGGATGTGAGGAGCTTTTCACATATTTCCGCAGTGCTTGCCATCTAATTGATGAGAGATAACATTAGTTCAGTATAATTTGAATAAAAATGCCAGCCGATTCACATCCAGTCAAGAAGGCCGAGCATACGTCCAAGAGCTGGGAATATATACCTGAGGCACCCATTTGGCAGGAACAAAAGATCCAGCTTCAATTGTCGTCACACCGGTTTTTGATAGCTTCTCAATTAACTGAAGCTTGGTTTCGAGTGGTATGGACTTCTTCTCATTCTGCAATCCATCTCGTGCCCCTACTTCGACAATGCGAACATGGTCCGAAGTTAACCGCGCCTCTGTCGCAAAGCGCCGAGTGGGTGGAGCAGCCCGAAGGGCAGTGAATAGGCTGAGTCTGGGTCGAAATTTCATCATTATGGAAGTAACAGGTTGATAGGTCAGAAGCGAAGAAAATATTGTCTAGAGGACAATGACAAACAGGGAACTGGGGGAAGAACTGGAAGGCAGAGGAAATCATCCGATCAGAGAGCTGTTGGAGATCAACCGACGAAATGCGGAGAAGCGACCACGGGTTAGAGTCGGCGGAAACCCCCACCTAACCTCACTAAACCCGATCCACGCCACTTTCCTTAGTCAGGCCGACTAGACTAAATTCTGCAAGTTAATTAATTATCGAATTTCATCCCACTTCCAGATTGTCCCACGCACGTACACACGGAGTACGTGACATCCACAATTGGGCGAAGACAAAATGGAGGAAACAGCGGCAAATGGATCGCCCGCCAATAGTACTTTGCGACAGCCCAAGAAAAGATTCGTCGGAAGACGAACAGCGGACGCCCAAGCGCAGAAGGACCAGTCGTCGAGCCAAAATGATGTCGAGTCGACAAGCGTTCAGAGAGGTTGGTAGCATAATTTCCTTGCTCCCAATTATCCCGAAACATTAGCTGACAAGTCCCTCAAGCTGCCCCCAGAAGGACGCCTCGAACCCTAAATCAAGTCCCGCCGGAAATCCTTGAAGACCCCGAAATCCAGGCCGCAATCGAGCTCCTGCCCAAGAACTATTCATTCGAAATCCCCAAGACAATCCACCGGATACGCTCCTCTGGCGCAAAAAGGATAGCCCTACAGTTCCCAGAGGGTTTACTAATCTTCGCGACCACCATCTCCGACATCATCACCCAGTTTTGCCCGGGCACAGAAACCCTCATCATGGGAGACGTCACGTACGGCGCCTGCTGCATCGACGATTATACCGCGCGCGCCCTGGGCTGCGACCTTCTCGTCCACTACGCCCACAGTTGTCTCATCCCAGTAGATGTCACGCAGATCAAAACTCTCTACATCTTCGTCGACATCAGCATCGACACATCGCACCTGATCGCAACTCTAGAGCGCAACTTCCAACCAGGCAAGACCATCGCAACCGTCGGAACAATCCAATTCAACGCCACCCTCCACGGCCTGAAACCCGTCCTCGAGCGCGCAGGCTACAAAGTCGTCATCCCACAAATCACCCCCTTATCTAAAGGCGAAATCCTAGGTTGCACATCCCCCCAACTCTCCTCCGACGAGATCGACCTCCTCCTTTACCTCGGCGATGGCCGCTTCCACCTTGAATCCGCCATGATTCACAACCCCTCTATCCCCGCCTACCGATACGACCCTTACTCGCGCATTCTCTCCCGTGAAACATACGTGCACGATGAAATGCACACCCTCCGCCGCGACGCAATCAAAACCGCCAAGTCTGCCAAAAAATGGGGTCTCATTCTCGGATCTCTCGGTCGACAGGGTAACCCCAATACCATGGCTATGATTGAGAACCACCTTAATGAGCGCGGAATTCCGTTCGTCAATATGCTTCTCAGCGAGATCTTTCCGGGAAAGTTGGCGTCCATGTCAGACGTTGAGTGCTGGGTGCAGATTGCTTGTCCGAGATTGAGTATTGACTGGGGTTATGCATTCCCGCGACCACTGTTGACGCCATATGAGGCGTTGATTGCTTTGGGAGTGAGGGAGAGCTGGGATACTGCCAACAAGGGCGTCTATCCGATGGACTTTTATGCAAAGGAAGGCCTTGGAAGGACGAAGCCTAGCCAGGCGATCCCCGGCACTGCCTAAAGGCAAGACGAAAAGAAGAAAGTAGGTTGAAAAAAAACGGGTGGTCATGATATAAGATACCACGCTCGGCATTATGATTTTGCATGACATGTCCATATGAATAACGCATAAAAGTCGCCATATATAGAAGCTTGTTTAATTGTTTAGAATATCTTACATCACCACATGGCTGTCCCGAGGGCCAGATAAATAAGGGCAGAAAGTATGTTTCTTCCTGAATAGTTACTAGTATTACATACAATATCCTGAATCGTTACAGCGACATTTCATCATCCCTTAACTTCGTCGGCGCTATCCGTGTTAAAATCACTTGCGCTTCCCCGGCGAAGCGACAGAATGCTCTTGCTGGCCAGTTCATCGGCAGTTCGTTCGGCCGCGCGCCATCGGGTGACCGCCTGCTCGACATCTTCGAACATTTCTATTGTGTCGTTGATGATACCTCCTTCGTCTAATTCCGGAACCTGGGTGCTCTCTCTCGACCCGCTGTCGCTAGTCATTGGAAAGGCGGGTCCGAATCCGCGCTGAGGGAGGGGATTGAACATGACGGCATTAGTGAACATACGGATTAATTCCTTCTCCAGCTGTGCCGAGTTGACTATTCCTTTGGGAGGAATAACGTCCTCGGTCTTCTGCAGCATGAGAACCGCATTCTTCGATGGTGTTCCGGCATTCGGGGCTGGAGATTCACCGTCCGCGGCGGGCGTGTTTGCGGCCTCTGTAGCAGCAGCCACGGCTTTGCTGCCTTGATGAATGGATGATTTGATGGACTTGAGATCCTGTGGCCGGTAGATGAGATCTCGATACCCCGGGGCATCGCGTTCGGTCAATGGCTTGGTAAATATTGAAGCGTGTTTATGAGTAGTCACATCATTCATGATCGGAGCACCCGTTCTAGGAAAGTTACGAGCGCAGAGAACATAAGATGTCGACTGATTCGGGTCAATGCGGCTGATGTGGTTAATCTCCGGAGGCAGGGTTTCTGCTTCCAACGCTTCACTGGCACCGCGCTTACGTTTCGGTCTGCCTCGACCCGGGCGGTCCTCTGAAGCAGCAGTACCTTTGCGACCACTAGAAGGATGGGGTTCAGGTTCAGCAGCCTCCGAGATTCCAGCTGGCGTGCTGGGCATCTCATGTTTAATCTTTCCAGGGTATACAGATTCGGACTCCTCATCGCGAGACAATACAGAACGCCCCCGACTTCTAGACGAAGCTGCACTCCTATCACGGCCTTTGCCGATCTGCTTCTCTGCCTTCGGCTTCAGACCTCCCTTGCCGTCCACATCAGCCCCTGCCAGTTCTGAATCTCTGCCTCGCCCAGAGCCTTTTCCATCATTCCGTCCACGCTTCCGAGGTGGAGGCACAGGTTCCTCCGGTGTCGCTTCGCGAGACCCCATTAATGAAGGGGCCTTCTCGCTGATGGGACTTACATCCTCCCGTCGCGGCCGTTCTGGCGAACGAGGAGATTGTGGTATGCTCAGTCGAGGAGTCTTCTTCCAAGGGGTAAGAGTGCCGGGAGTGGCAATAGTTAGACGCGGGCGCGCACCCCTGGATTCCGAGTACAACAAAGCTTGTGCAGCACCAGCTGGCGTCTCATAGCCAGTGCCATAACCGCCAGGTGCTGGCGACTGCGCCACGGCAGCGATGGGCCGCGGAGTGGATGGTACGGTTGTTGGTTGAGGTGTCTGGTACGCAGCTTTTGTTTCTGGCTTTGGTAATGGTTGAGGCGGATGCGAGGGTAAAGGTTTCTCAGTAGTTGTCTGACCAGAGGGCTCTGGGATTGGGTGTGAAGAGGCGGGTCGTGGTGTCTGAGGGGGTGGGTTCAACGACCACTGCTGGAAACTCGGTTGAGGTGGAGGGCGAGGAGCCGTAGTAGCTGGAGTCTTTGGTGGGCCTTCTTTGCTAGCTGGTTTGCTGGTGGAAACAGGTTTGTGAGGGGCGGGAGAAATAGCTGGGGCATTTGCATTTTGCGGGGCTTGCGAGGGAGTTGCTGGTGGAGCGGGTACAGAGCCAGTGCCCGGAACTGGGGTAGCGGACGGGGGTATAGGTTTCTGTACTGCAGGAACATTCGTCAGAGCTTGACTGACAGAAGTATCCCGGGGCGCTAGAGGAGGTTGTTTGGGTGTTGCGGCTGGTTTTCCATTGACGGCCCGTGGTGGTGGTGGTTTCGGAGTTGTCTGTGGTATGGGCTGAGGACCAGAGGGCTGTTGCTGCGGCGGTTGTGGCGGCGGAGGTACTTGCGACTGGACTTGTGGGGAAACCGGTCTTATCTGAGGTTGTCCAACCGGTTGTGCGGGAACAAGTTGCTCCTCCACTGGTGTTGGATGTGGCGCTGACACCGGAGGTTGTTTGGCGATATCCACCTTCTTGCCTTGCGGTTCCACTCGGGGTTGTTTGGTATCAATTCCGGGCGCTAGTTCTATAGAAATCTTATTCGCATCCTTGGGTTGTGTTTGAGCAGGCCTCTCCTCCTTGGCGTCCACATCCATGGGCTCTGGTTCAGACTCGAGTTTCGGTTCGGGCGCTTGCGGCGTAGGTTCCTGGATAACTGGTGTAGGCACAGGCTCTTTGGGTGTTTCGCGCTCCTCCTTCTGTAGTCGCTCGATCTCATCCTTGATATCTTTATACCTGACCTCCTCATTCCTAATTTCCCTGGTAACAAGCTCTTTGTATCGGGCATAGAGGTGCGAAACCAGGTCCGGTATGATCGCAGCATGGCTTATTCCCTTATCGACAAACCCATCGGGCCGCGGACTCGTAATCTTCCGTTTCTTGGGGTTAGCACTGCTGCCTTCCACATGATGGCCGTTGGGTTCGAGGGAGGAGATGATGTCATCGGAGTTTCCACCATCCCGCATCAGGGTCGTATACAATTCCTCGAGAGCCTCCGGGGCAAGCCGCCCCGCATCGAAGGCACCATTCTGACGGATAAACGGGTTGTTGCGCAGCACATCGGAGATGGAGACGAAATTGGTGGGGCGGCTATCTAGGGCAGCGAGGGATTGAAAGAAGAGGAGCGATTCAAACGGAGTGTAGGCCGACAGAGGAGGCATCCCCCATTGCCCGTTTGATCGGCCGCTGGGGGTAGAGGATCTAGGGATGGGGGCCACGGTGATAAAGGTTGTACGATGGTTGGCCCGTCAGAGAGCTCAAATTGGGGCAACCAATGGGTCAAGAACAACACAGCAGTGGTCCAGGTCCAGATCCAGGCCTAAGGAACGGGCAAAAGCAGGTGATCGGGGGATTACGTGGAACCAGTCAGACCATCTGCGCAGAAAAATGGACAAAGGCCGAAAACGGGAACAGGGAACAAAAAAATTTAAATCCAGGAGCAAAACGCGACCGTGTCACGTCCACAGGATTTCGAGGGCTTCAAAAAAATTTCAGAAAAATCGTAGAAATTTGAGACAATAAAATTACGGGCGCGGGTCGGATG